CTCAGTAGCATTATAACGTGATCTTCCTTATCACAAGTATAAGGGAGACAGCCAATAAGTCTCATTCGCTACTGACAGTCGCTTGTGGCGACAGCGGATTTTATATCCGCTTGAGCGGTGGAACCTTGGTGAGTTATGTTTCAAATTATGGGTTTTGAATTCGCCGTAACATTCGCCAGGGGGTAATGCGGTTTTCGGATACTGTGCAAATGTCTCGAGTTGCTTTAGGCCTCTGAAGACGACGAGGACGTCGAAACGTTAGGCCGTTAATCAATAAACTGTTCCACCTAACAACCTCGCACGGCACAAGAATATTATAATCATAAAATTAATTGCGCTTGAACTTTTGAGAGATCCTAATATATGTGATTTACCGGAAATTGGACTTAAAGGCACAGTTCACGATGTCCCTTAGAATCCCCCATAGTATGAATTCGAGGCTCCACCTTATACCATACTTGCCGTTATAAGGCCGGAAAACGTCCTGGATAGGGAACAATAAGGGGCCAGAGATTGTGCAGTGTGGATGCCACACCCCTTATGGACGAGTTCCAAAGGTTTTGAAGTGGCTGCACTATCTCAAGAGATTCCCATGTAGAAAGCTCAAACAACTTGTCATAACCCATGGCGACAGTGAAAGGCAATTTTCGACAATGTCGGCTTGATTTAATCATCTCTTTGCGCAATTGGAGCAAGATGAAACTCTCCAAACACCCCTTACATGCTATCCCCATAACGGTGATCTCGTAACAACCTTCACTTACACTCTTTTTAAAAAGACTCGAGTAGGCGGATTATCTTGTTTTCATCGTCACGAATGTGTTCCTCTACATCAACAGCTTCGTTTTCAACCTAAAAGGGTACTTCAAAATTATCGTGAACTGGGCCTTTAACTTAGTCTCCCGACTAGCAATTAGAAGGTCCCTGCGAGAGCCTTTGTCCACACTGGTGCTACTGTGGAACCCACTTTTGTCATAATGTTATAAACGCAGAATGATCAAGCGCCCCATATCAAGGATTGTATAATAGAATTAGCTCACAGCACCCCTTGCAGTCGCACCGACTGCCCTACATCAACTGGTTGCCTTAAATAGGTAGTCTTGCAGTGTGACAGCCAGATTCGGTCCCGCTCGAGTGAAGCAGGTTTCGCAGCCCGCGACTATCTCGATGCGGTAATCGGGCCTGCTTCCCGATTCGGATGTCTGACTTTTCTAATTCACTAATCTTAATGTGCAAATAAGTCTTAACCTTCATTTCCGATGTGTTATGTACGTAGTGGGTTGCATTTTCCACCTATTGTTGTGTGTGATAAGGAGCCATAAAATTCACGGGACCATAAACTTTCACCCGCTCTTGATAGTGAAAATGTGGTGGAGAGGGGCAGGCTCTTTTCCATCACTAAGCGCTAGAGCGTGGACAAGGAGTGGTAGCCGATTTCGCGATGTCATAATCGCATAATCGATCTTAGCAACGCTTCTTAGATGAAAAATATGTCATTTTTAGACTAAGCCTTAGAACAGAAGAAGCTCCGGAGTAGACGAGCCAATTCAATGCTCAATTGTTATCCCATCCCTGCTTTTTGCGCAAGGCAATCCTCTCACCCACCCCGAAGCTCCTAACCTCTTGACGTTCTGGTAAAAAGTATGTTATTTGGTATGCCGTTATAGCTTAAACCGTCTCTGGCTACTTTCAGACTTCAACGATGCAACCAAAGACCGATTGACCGACCGGTGGTGGCGCTGGCCACCTGTTGACAACGTAGGACACCGAGGGATCACGCGCCCTCACGTGTGGCTGTTTTCAGAGTTCGACGACCGTCCGTCTGTCCGTCCGACTGTCCGTTCAGCGCGTGCGCTACGGCGGTCTGAAAGCAGCCTGTCACCCCTTCAACGCAACGCCTTTGTCCAGCGTTGTCAGCACGTGAACAGCCAGAGTTGGTTGGGGGTCGGTCGGTCGGTCTGTCGATAAAATCTAAAAGCAGCCCCCGGGCACATGTAAGTTCGGCTACTCCTCCTCTTTTGCGCCGACGTTCAATGATGGGAAAGAGCGTTGTCCCCATCTTCCCTCCCCCTCCCTTCAACTAAATTTGCATCCATTAATTAGTGCCAAAGAGTTATTCGTTCCGGAATAAAGGCACAGTTCACGATAAAAATAGTTTCTGGGATCTCCTTATGGTATCAATTCGAGGCTCCCCCTTGTACTATACATGTCGTTATAAGGGCGAAAAACTTCCTGGATAGGACACAATAGGGATCCAAAAATTGTATCGGGCGAATGCCACACCTCTAGTAAGTTCGGCTAGAGGACGAGTTTCAACGGCTTTGTAGAGGCTGCACCATTCATTGAACCAATGTAGGAAGTTCAAACAACTTTTCATGTCCCACAGCGAAAAGCATTGAGACAGTTATGGTTCGATGTAGTCAGCTCTTTGCACGATCGGAGCAAGTTAAATCTCGCCCAAACACCCATGCATTCCTGTACGGTGATCTCGTACAACTTCCACTTCACTACTTCTAAAAAGCTTGAAGTAGGCGGATTTCCCCGCTTCCTTCATAACCGATGTACTCCTTTACATCAACATTTCCGCTTTTCAACCTGAAAAGAGTACCTCAAAATTATCGTGAACTGTGCCTTTAAATTGCATGAGCGTCGTGAAAGTGACGGTCTTGTTCCACGAAGGCCACCGGCAGAGTGCTGGGAAGGCTGCGTCAATCGACATGTAAACAGCCGGTGTGACTAGACGAAAACTGCGCCGCAGCTGCATGTAGTCGCTCCGCCCCCCTCTGGACGAAAATCGTTGTGCAATTTGGGTGATTGGCTCGGCTGACTACTCATCTCAGCCAATTCACATCTGAGCTGACGTTTTTCGTCAAGCATGTTGGAGCAGTAAGACGCTTAATGTTTTCTCAATCCTGTCACCCACTTGGCGTTGATCAATTGCGGAGTATACGTCATTTTTTACGGAACAATTCGACTTGCTGTAGAAGTAGTCATTCTTTGGAGTGTTTTCACATAAATGAGTGTTTGCGGTAAGATTTATAGTGTTGCAACCGTTTCTTTTGATAGGGTTTGATAGGGCTAGATTCCTTTCGCGGTACACCTTAGAGTTTGATGAAATCATTGCGAAATCGTAGAGGATTGTCATCATCATGCGTTTTACCATACATTGCTCATACATTAGTAATCACTTTATGGTGCTTCCATTTTCGTATTTCGTCCTGACCTACCATTCCTCGCTTTGTGCTTAAAATTGTTATATGAAAACTGTCGGTTTAATCTAAGTTTTTCAGGAAATGGACCCATGTGTTTTTCATATTAGCTTTTTGCCCACCTTGTTGTAGAAAAACTGTTGTTTTCTTTTCATGCACTGGATCCTTCTGTGATAAGTTTATGTCAAATACAAAGGAATGTCAAACATTCCCATGATTTTAATGTAGCCATTTCACTTTGATGTATTATTTGGCATTTGTGGATAGAACCTGCTACTTCATTTGAGCCTATCCTTTTTTAGATTTTTAGTGAAACAGATAGTAATTCATCTTCCCGAAGCATCAACTGTATATAAGTATGATGCATACACTTGCTCGTTCTTGGATTTCCACTTTTTACGTCACGAATTCGGCTTTACGTAGAACATTTCCTTTGATCACAACGGTGTTGTTGAGGATGGGATAGATGAAGGGAAACATATAATTATTCTACTAAATTCATCCGTTTACAGATTAAATGTATGCGAATCGGGTACCAAAAGTCGAAGTTATTACCTCGCAGAATGCTCCACAAGTCATTGTTGCACCTCTTCAACAACAACAACAACAACAGCAACACCAACAGGTACGTCCTTCTACGGCTTTGCTTCATCATTCTTCAGGTTTACAGTAACCTCTTTTCCCATAGGAGTGGCTTTCAGACGTCTTCCACATTAAACTCCATTTATTCTTTGCTTTGCTCCTTAAACCAAAATTTCAGGCAAAATATTTGTAACGTTCAGCGTTTTTAACCTTTTTGAGAAAAAAGGTTATTCGAAAAAAAATTATTTTTCAATCCAGAAGCATTCCTCTTTTGCACAACTGTAGCAGTATTTTGCTCTTCGATGATTAACCAAGACAAAGCCTAATGTTGGTAAACTTTCTCAAAATTTCTCAAAACGCTATGGTTCGAAACCTTCTACTCGATAGATGTACAACGAAGAACGCTTTTGATATTTCAGTCACTGAAACGTGCATGCCTTATGCAATTCTTGAGGAATGGCACCCTGAGAAATGCTGTAGATTGGATACATTATTGATTACTCAGCAAGAGAAACCCTTTTCCAGCCAGTTGCACAGCTTCCAAACTTCAAGGATGATGAGAAAATGCCGTTGTTTTTGATCAAGTTGTGGAGTATTGTTGAAGATCCGCAGTACCAGCAAATCGTTCGATGGGATGAGGTAATTTTTCAAATTTGGTTCCTTCTAAAATATCAGTAAGTGACTGCTGCTCGTGAGCTCACCGTATCGTTCCCTGTTTCCCAACTTTGAATGAAATCGCACGTGAACCGAGCGAGGCATTTTCGGGATTCGAGGAGAGCCTACTCATAGATGAGGCAGTGCACAGTTCAACTAATAGGCTCGAAATTTTTTGAGAAAATTTGATTGGTTTATTGAATACGAAATAACTGAACAGTAACGTCAAATGTAAACGAGGTAGTGGCCCTCCTCAGACACGAGGTCTCTACCTTGAATGGGCAGAGCTGTTGAGCAATGACTTCTTCCAAAAGGAGAAGGGGTGAGCCGCGATTCATTCACCCACCGCACTTTCAACTTCCTGAATGGTAAAGAATTTTTTTCCTTTGCGCGAGAGTGGAGGCTTCTGAAAACGTGGTAGTCTTCAGGGCAAATGCCAGATGAATATGAGAGGGTACGGTAATCAGGTGATACCAAGACTCTCCAGCTCTCGCGTGGTGTGGTCTATGACTGTCTACTACAATCCAAATGTTCTCGTGTAATCAGTGTGAAATAAGGGTCCGAGCGACCATTTCTAGCCTCCCTTCGAAGACTCTCATGAACATAACACACATTCGGTAGAAGAGGAACGGGATCATATTCTTCTCCGCGTGAGCGTATCGCTTTAGAATGGATTGTAGCCTCACATTTGTTGGGACTGAATGAAATTTTATATAAAATGCTTCCTTTATCCTTGGCAGTAGTGGATCATGTCGACGTCGCTTACGGCCAGGGAGCTTCTCGCACATATTGACTTACCTCGACGTTCTCTTCATTTGGGGAACGTGGGATAACTGTATGTCGTGCCACTTTTTGCGTAGAATGACATGGACGGTGAAGCGACGAGTAAAGTTTGTCCATTCCATTTTCCCGCCCAACTATGGGAGCTTTTTTGCGGAAGCTAGAACAGGATCGGTATTGAACTAGCGTGGGCGTCCACTTCGAGGAGCTTCGTTGAGACGAAGCTCTCCCAATAACAAGCTATCCTCACCTATACTAGATGGCAAAGCAAGGAGCACTGCTTTCATCGACATTCATATTTCATTTTGAGCTTGGGTTACAGAGCGGCTAGATTGGTAGGCCGCCTGCAGTTCGGTCGACGATAACTTGTTTCTGACAATGAAGTAAAGAACCTATCAGATACACTGTTAACCATCAACGGTTCCCTTTTCCCACACGTGCTCTATATTCTTATTTTGGGTATTTGCTCGCATTATGGTTGTCGAGTCGAAAGGCAAATTTTCTTAAAACATTGCGTATACCCCAACAGATAAACAAAGACGAATTGTAGACCAACTTGTTGCAACTTACAGATCGAGGCATGGAAATCATACATATAAAGAAGGTGGCAAAATTTATTTGGTGGCCCGTTAGTTTTATTAACATGTTAGATGAAACCTTTTGCAACGTTTTTTTTAGTATACTGCCTGTGTTGTGACCATGTGATTTGTTACTTTCAGTCAGGCTACAGCTTCCATATAATCGATCCGTACTCTTTTTGCCGCAACGTTTTGCCCCACTTCTTCAAACACAATAATCTCAACAGTCTTATACGGCAACTAAACATGTGTGAGTTGTTGCACTTATTCTGGTACTTTCCAAGGATTTTTGGATTTTTCTTTCCTAGTTAATAATGGTAGGGAAATGAGCCGATCTATTACTAGAATCACCTGTCATCACCGGTTATTTCAGACGGTTTTCGAAAAATGACACCAGTTGATCGTGGGTCGCTAGCACGGACGGAATCCGATCAGGATCATCTCGAATTCAGTCATCCTTACTTCATTCGTGATCACCCTGAATTCTTAGTCAATATCAAAAGAAAGGTTTGTTTCTCGGTCGCGCTACTGAAAATTTCTGTTATCTTTGTTTATTCTGGGGCGTCTCCTGCTCAATGCTTGGCACTGATACAATTCTGAAGAAAATCGTAGGGAACTGTTGACCCGTCGTTTTTACTAGCTAATATATATGTTTCAGACGTCATTGTTTGCATTAAATGGTTATTCCAATTTGATACCATTTTCAGCAGTCATTGATGAGATAATATACAACGATTGGCATGATTTAGTTGAATGAGAAACGCGGTGGTCGTCCAGAATCTGCTCTAACATTATTCGTAATGGAGTGATGGGGGTGACCTCGGTCTTGTGGAGGGTGGAACTACATCAAAATGTTACTCTGCTTGGATGTTTCGTATTAACGTCTAGCCTTCACCATAAGACATACTCGTAACTCCTTGAAACTTGGAGAAAGTTGCATCCCATGGGCATGAGATATTCCGGATTCTCGTCGGGTCGATCAATCTGTGGAGATCATTCTCGTAATGAAGAAAACATGTTGAAACTGCTGAAGATTCTGGTGTTTAAGCTTGTCTTCTCTTTTAACCATCATAGAATTTTTTGTAGAGCTGATATCCATTATTGTGTCTTTTTCATCTATACATCGGACTTTGACTGTCCTTCGTCATCGGGGAGCCAGCTGTTCAAGCAAATAAGCATAGTTCGTGTATGGGATGCGATCTTCGGCCTTAGAATGGTGAGGCAACACATGAATTGGGTCTTATGGGTGTGACTCATTGTCGAATTTATCTTTCTTTGGCATTTATTTGGGAACACGTAGTGTTAACTGCATACAGTTCAAATTTGAAACGATCTGAACAGCATTTGTTTAATGTTCATAGTGTTTGAACGCAAGCTTCGAGGTACTATAGCTGATCAGACTGAAAATTTCTTTTTCCGATTTGAAATTTCTACCAGTGATATTTTTTGACTGCTCTAGGTCTACAATTGTTTTCATAGTTTGTTTCGCATGGAAACCTATTTTCATGGGAAAATCTACATTGACCGGTTTTTCATCAAGAGCCAAAGCGAAGGTTTTGCTTGGTTTCAGCATGAGCTCATAAAGAATTTTGTGGTACATGTAAGTGCGCATCAAGAAAAGCAGGGCCTGTAAGTCTGCCATCTTCAGAATTGCAAGTGGTTCAGCAGATAAAAGTGGTGATCAGTTTAAAATAAAGCTTTCATTTGTATTCTGATTGGCTGATGGTTACTGTTCTTTTGTAGTTAGACAAGGCTCCTTAGTTACCGTAAAAGTGGGAAAATAACTGCATGGTTGAAGTGACTATTTTTTAGCGCAAGACCTTTCTAAGCCTTCAACCGTTCTTCGAATACAATTTCTGTTCCAGCAATCTTCACGGTCTGCCGAGAACTCTACAAATGGTGTGCAAGCGCAAGCAACAATACAGTTGGTGATGGAGGAAATGCGTCAACTGCGAGAAAAGCAGCGTACTACGGACAGCAAGATGCACGAGCTTGTAAAGTGCGTATGCAGCAATTGTTGCCTGTTATTGAGCCCTAATCTTTTTTTNTTTTTTTAGGGAAAATGAACAGTTGTGGGAGCAGGTAACTCTGTTACGAGCGCAACACAACCGTCAACAGCAAGTTGTGACTAAGGTTAGGAAAATTTACTAAAATATCATACAATAGGCCTATGTTCTATGACGACTCAGCCTATGCTATGTTGCGCTCATTTTGGCCGTATTACTATGTGCGAAAGTTTTCACGAACTCGATTTCTGGATTGCGCGGTCATCACCTTTAGAAAAAATTTTTATCTATAATAAGCTCATTTCGATTCTTCTTAAGGTCGCATTCGGAATGGTTCATTAACCCCAAATTTTGAAGGTGTAGCATAGCATAAGATGCCGTCATTTCAGCTTCCTTGAATAGTACTAATAACTAATTACAATTTGAAAATGCGTTTTATTTGTTAGCACCAATTCTTAGCAGATGTTTTCATCTCCTTTACTGCCTTGGCCGATGTGTAAAAACGAGAGAGCCATTTCGCTCTTTCCCTTCGTTTTCTCTTTTTGCTTCTGCTCATTACTCGCTCTTAAAGCCTTCTAAGACACTGGAATTCTCGGTTACCGCCACACAAGTAGCCCGCCTTAGCAACTGTTATTGACGTGCACATTACATAAGACTGCTAGGTAAATTCAGACTTTTCCGTGCGGCGGTCGCGCGACAAAGCAGTCCACGCGGCGTGATTGATTGGCAACACGAAACCCCCTAATTTTATCATGTCTAAATACACTCTGAGGCAGCTCGTCTGTTTCGCCTCGATTTTTCTCATCAATTACTGCTACTTTGATAGCTTAATGTGCGATTTGAGACACTCTTTTCCTGCTCCGCAGAGTTTTATTAGGGAACTCTCGATCAAGTTTTGATTGTTTTACCAAGTGAAGATAATTTGCCCGTCCATTTTGACCTGAGGCGAAATCGAACCGAATAATTTTCGTTGAAGGACATTTCTAGCGTATAGTACTGAGCAAGGTTCATTGATTCCCCTTCAAATCTTAAATTTACTAGTTTAGCTAATTCATCTCAATCTCTGATTCAGCCTAGTAATAATTTAGAACTCTGCCAGAAAAAAATAAGCGGCTCATCTCGTCTCCCTCCCAAAATGAGTCAAAATCCTGCTAAAGTGACCAGGAAGTCTTTTGCATGTTCATTTGGGGACTTTCTGCTGCCGGAGTTGTCGATTGGTGTGCAACGTTTGTTAACATGTAGTAGGGCTTATACAATTATGTTTCAGCTGGTGCAGTTCCTTGTTGCAATGATGCAGCCAAATTCGACAGTGGCGAAACGTGTTATGAAAAGAGGAGTGCTGGCCATTGATGAACCACCACAAAAGCGTATGCGAATGAACTCGAACTTAAATTCAAACAATAGCTCAAATCTGACCGATGTGAGTATTTTGAGAGTTCGGCGTCGTTCTACGTTAATTGCTTGATTCTGCGTGATGCCTCATTGCTTTTAAGATTTTGCTAATTCACAATATTCCCACTAAAACTCAGTTCTATTAAGGAAAATTGAATTGAAAAGTTGAGGAAAACGTGGGTGACGCGGACAGTTTGTCTGCTGTTGACTCACTCTGGGTGCAGCGTCGCAGTCTAACTTGCATAAAAAACTTCAAAGCAAATAAGGGCGTTTCAGTGCTGCCTTTTCAAAAGCTGTTTTAGATTCTTGATCGTCTTCAAAGAGAAATGTTGGATATTGGCGGTATACGGGGTGTTGCTGCTGCAGCAAGTCGCGCTGATGGTCCCATCATTGCTGATGTGACAGACGAATGGGTCCCAGGCGCCACTTCTAATAGTCCTCCGGGACAGACGAGAAATAAACAACCATTCGGCAGTAACGCGTGAGTATAATCGCACTAACATCATAGATCCACTGTTATATCATTGGTTAAGGTACAATATGTCACCAAATATGCAAATGACTGCATCGCCATCTAGCAATAGTACAGCATCCATGGGTTTGACCCCACAAAAAAGAGCTCAGAATGGTGAAGCTCAAGCAGCTATTTCGGGACCAGCGCAGGTTAGTGTCTTCTGAACGAGCTCCTTAGATTTTTCGTTTTTGAGGCCTTTGTACTTGGAACATGTCTTTTGGATTCCTTCAATTTCTTAACACTTATTTCCTGTTTTTTCAATGTTCACAACATTTTTCATGAATAATATTTGATACGGTCATTTTTGAGACAAACGGTACAACGTTGTCGCCCTCGATTACTATGTCACCCTCTCTTGAAAGACAGTTCTCACAGGTTGGTTTTTAAGCACCTGGCAGCAATCTGAAAATTATTCTATGGTCCCACTCCGGTCGCGCATCGTTCGCTAAGATCAGGATTTGATATATTTTTCCCAAAAACTGACTATCAGGCCAATATTGTTTTTATTTCCCTCACGTGTAGGAACTTACTACATTCCCGTTATCCTTCAAGAAGTACTCTTACTGATATTCAAGGTTACGACTTAGGCCGGCAGTGATCCCAGACTACAATAGTGCTATACAGGATACAGTGAAGGCTGTTTTTTCTTTTCTTTCAAGACATTTTTAGCGGCGAACTCGTCTGCGTCTCACATGGAAAGTTGTTGCAGATCATCGATGAAATGACCTCGGTGCTGATGGCTGCAATTCCCAAAGCATTTTGGGTTTACACTTTTCCCAACCAGAGCTCACTTTTGAATTTGAGAATAGTTTTTCGGCTATACATATAAGTTTAGGTTTGCCGATCCAAAATTTTAAACAAAGTATTAATCGCACAGGTTAAGTGTAAAGAGCCTTAGTCCCATTAGCTGAGACCGCCACCTGTCCAAAAGCCGGACGCGGGAAGATATCCTGTCCCCTTCCTTCTTCAACAATCGTAGCCGTCCGGAGGGGGACCATTTTTCTAATGTTATCATTTATTGAATGATTTTCTATTTATTACTCTTGGAGAGTGTGATTGCCACGTTTTTTGGGCCATGACCACTGGGCATGTGCTTGAAGTTTGTGCATGAATGTGTTTCATGGTGGTGTTCGTAGACTGTGTCGTATTTACCTTGATAAGTAAATTGTGTAAATTGATTTTTTCTCTTGTAAGTCTTTAACTAAGACGAGTGAGTTTAACACTCCTAAAATTTTATGATGATGTCAGTGCAATGGTGCATGTAACAAGTACCGAACTAGCTTGTGGAGGCGGGCTTCTGTATACACAGTGTACTACCCAAATGTGGAGTGCTTCCAGTAGTCCAGTAGTGCATGATTTTCGTTGTGGAATGCAATGAATATAACGTTTTTTTCTCATCCAACGCTCTAAAGTGAACCAAAATGTAACATTCTGTTAGTAGTGTTAGAAGCAGGATTGAACTCACTGTACCACACATAATGGTGTTTGAGTTGAGCTCGTAAGGCATCCAAGCCGTAGGGTTAAGTGGAACGTATAGGCCTTGTGTGCTGGTTGTCTTCCACAAGTATTTCCATTTTGAGCCCAGTTTTTTGCCAGTGACTATCGTCTATACATAATAATCAAAACAGCCAGGGACGTGTAGAAATATAAAGATTCAAGGTTACCTTAACAAGTCTCCCTTTACGTGTCGCTTGGGAATGCTCCTGTGTTTTTTGGGTGCATGATCGTTGTTTAGTTTTTTGAGGAGCACAATGAAAGTATCGACATCTTACAAGCTAACCGCAATATACTATTATTAATCCACAATTGTTGCACATTTCTTCATCAGTCTTGAATATGTTTTGATGGACATTTTCTTACAGGACTTCCAAGACTATTTGAACGGAATTGATTTGGATATTGACAAGTGCAGAGATCTACTCGGTAATCACTGGGACTTCAACCTGTTCGATGTATGCTTTGCTGTATTGTTCACACATTGTACTGTTGGAATTTTGCGAATATTCACAATAGAAGTATTCTTGTTACAGAATGTGGATGTGGGGGAGGATCAGGACCAACCGCAGTCTGACGGACAGCAGCATGAGAGCAATACCGTAAACTCCACATATAATGGTTTTGGAATGCAGAATGGCACTGCACAGCAACCTGGCTTGCTAACTTATCATCTTGGACCACAGTTAGCATTGGAAGGCGGACCGCTCACAACCGATACCTACAGAGGAAACCCACAGGTCGAGTTGGTAGAGGAAGACACTCACGCTGATGTGAATCCGAGATTAGAATTTCCGTGCACACCATTGGTAGAAGGAGATGATCTTTTGTTCCCCAGTACTCCAGATTTACTTACACCATGCACCAGTCCGCGCCCATAAATAATCATAATTGTAGGGGTTTCAAATTCCGTAGAAATTATTCTATCTTGAATCAGCTTTAAAAAAATCATCCTTCTTTTTGCGCAACCGAAACACTCCCCTCGCGCTCACTGATGGGATACTACTTGTTATGCTCTTTCATCTAAAATATTTGCGACCATAAACAAGGTTAAGCCATGCCTCCAAACAGCCTTGATATTGGTAATTCTAGCCGAGGTGGTCGCAGTTTGTTGTTGTGTATTTTCTGTCATAAAACGCTAGTTGTTATATAATATACATAGGTACACTTGCTATAGTTCTTTATAGATTGTGCTTGCTGGTAATGAATTGTAATTGTGATTTTCCATACGAGACCTCTGAGGCTTCTTTAGTGCCCCTAATTCCAAAAAATAATCATGATCTAATTGATTTGATATCCGTTACTCCCTGGCTACTTCATTGTGCTTTCGGGCATGTCCACTATGTATATGCCTACGGTAGTGTACCAGGGGAACCATGAAGACTCTGAAATATTCTTACGTGTCGTACTGATACTTGGAATTAGTTTAATAGTAATGTAAATAGTTTATCCTGCTTTCTTCATCATTGTTCACTGTTTTTGTCGTTTGCAAATCTCAACGAAGAAGGTTTGAGTTTTGATCGGAATTTTTTGATTTGTTAGCGGTTAGCAACCTTTCAGCTCCGTTGAGGGATAAATCGACTTTTGCATTTTCTCACAGAACTGAACAAATAAACTGTTTTTACATTTGCGTGTTGTTCTCTCCAAAACCTCATGTAGGTCTTGACTTCAAAGCGTAACACCTGTCGTCTTGTTGATCATAGACTAGTAGCTTCTCCATCCGTCCCTGTCGCGAGCCAAAGTGGTCCAATGAGTTGCCCTCTCTCCACTAACACAAGGCTCAGCATTCCTTTCGTTCAGAGCTTTTTCGAAGAAATCTGACCATTGCGTTGGTGGGTGGTGTTCGCTTGACGTCCGGAGGGATCCAGTCAGTAACCGCCCTGGTCCATCGGTCATCAGAAATCGCAAAACGTGTCCGGCCCACCTGATCTCCGATTTCTTGGCGTAATCAACGCATCCCTTCATTCGACGGCGGAGCGCGGACGTGCGGATTCGCTCTGCACTTGCGTGAGTAAGGAAATTTCGAGCATCGCCCTTTACAAAGCGCGTTGAGTAATGGTGACAGCATGCTCATCCTGTTTTCTGAAAGTCCAAGTCTACTAGGCGTAGACTTGGACAGGAAATACACCAGGTCGAAAAGGTGAGCAGGCATTCGAATGTTCTCTGTCTTCATCACTACTTCCTCGATATTCTTATTGCTGCGCGGTTCCTTCCGCTCTTCTCAGGAGCTGCTTGGCCATTCATCATGTGGACTTCCAGACCTAGATACAGCATTGAGAGCATTTAGTGACATTCGTTCCGCTTATCGGAAGCATCAGGTACAATCCGTTCCTCAAGAACATCGTCGTCGTTGAGTTCAGTCTCAAGCCGATCTTTCCACAAGCACTGCAAAACTCGGTCAGCATTCGTTTCGCCTGCTCGATGTTCGGTGTTATAAGCACGATGTATCTGATAGGCGGAGGTGATGCAGGAAGTGGTCGTCGACCAAAACGTAAATTCCTGAAACATCTCAGTTCACTCTAGGTCTCCTATGCAGCAAAACGTGATTATAGAAATTGTAAATGGTCTAGTGAGGTACGTTACGGAGTTTGGATGCTTCATCGATATGGGTATTCATTCACGTGAGTTGTGTTGAATTATCAACTAACATCAGAGTTAGACACAATGCAGAGACTTAAAGGAAGATTTGAGCAACGGTGCTGTCCGAAAGGCGCCAAATCCAGAAATTGCATACACAATGCCTTCCGGAGCTAAGCCAATTACAAGACCGAGATGACTTCCCTTTGTCATTCTGACGGACTAGTTGTTGCATCTCAATGGGCAATGTTAAAGGCCATATACGACTTCTGCGCGAATCTCTTCGATAGCCATAACCACTTACCTACATGTCGTTTCTTCAGTTGTTTCTCATTAATTCGAGATGCCATACTTCGATGAAGAACTGTACGGCACCCGGTCCCGATAGGATCAGACCGTGATATTTTAAAAGAATTCCACCAATCGTCGTCGAAACCCTGGCTCGGCTCCTCTCCCTGTAGCCCACGTCGTGGAAGACTTCCAAGATTATAAGAAGCGAGATCAAGGCCATAATGGTAACATCTCACAAGTTTGTAGTTTACTCATTTCACAGCAGTCATTTTTACAGGTCGGGAAGGATACAGGATGGGGAACAATCATGTGAGCCGAGGGATTCATCACAAACGAATATATTCACATTGTCACAAGACTAGCTGAAGCATCACGGGAGTACAGGATTCCGTTACGTCTGACGCTTATCGATTCGAAAATGGCCTTTGAGTTGTCGAGAAATAAAGGCAATAGGAGTCTTCGGCAGCAAGGGTGTTTCTACTCAAATGAGGATGCTTTGTGAGTTAACCATTACCACCAAGATCACGCCACTCTAAGAGAAGTCGTTGTAAGAGAAGAGATGAGCGCCGTGTGACGGTACTATATCACTCAAAGTTTTTAATGCCGCACCCGAGGACATCATGGAGTGGGAAGACACGCGAGTAAAAGTCGACGGCCACTACTTACATCAGCTCCGCTTTGCAAACAGTCACTCGTCCTTGAATCACAGCGCATCGAGGAAGCGGAACTGATGTTGACGAATTCGACGGCGCTTGTGGAAATGTTGGCTTGCGATTGAACCAAAGGGAAATGGTGTCATGGAAATCGGATTGATATTCATAACTATTTATTTAACTGTTAATGTTTGTAGGTATTTTGAGCTGAATGGAATAAACATCTGCAAATGCTTCAGTTACATTTTCTCTGTCGAGAAGTCAACATGATTAACGACGCAGCAGCGCAGCTCTTTCTGCTTGGACATACGTTCTGAGGGTTTAACTCTACAAAAGTAGGATAAGCATGCTGTCGGCGTCACTTAACGACGTGTGGAGAGGATGATGCACTCAATTTCCCGAGACACGCAAATGCAGACGTGAATCCTACGTCCCGAGCTCTCTTCACGAACCAGGATGGGGGTCACCATTGCTTACGCCAACATTTCGATGATTAGGTGGGCCAGATTCTTTATGCGATATTGTTGTGGTCGTTGGACCACAGTTGTTACTGCCTAGCTCCGCAACACCAAACGAAAACTCGACCGACCGCAATGCTCAGGCTTCTTCACAAAAGCTGAACGAAAGAAATGTTGTGTCTCGTGTTCCATGATCGAGATCGAGGAATATCGAGGATCGCAGTGCACTGCGCTGACAGAACAGGAAAAAAAGGAGACGCCACTAGCGCCTGCTCGAGGAAATCTATGATCAACGGGACGAATAAAGATGCAGATGATCAGTACTGCCCATTCTTAACCGGCATGTTTTTGGAATTTTGAAACATGCATGTGCCCACGGTGAACAACCCGATTGATTGATAAATTTGATGAAATGCTCTTCTGAAGAGCTATGAGGCCTTGCTACTTACGTGAAGAAGGTTCAAGGCTAGAACATTTGTATAAGTAAGTAAGAAGCTGATCTGCGATGCAGTAGCATTCCCTACTCCTTAATCGAGCTTATACTTCTTCTGATGTAACTGTTCAAAGTGGCATTTCGAAGTTATTTCACAGTTTTCCTAATTCTCTAAAGTTTTCCATTGGCGGTTTTGATAGATAGATATCGCTTCAATTAATCACCCAAAAAATTTGCTTCTGTTGAAGCACTTACAACTCTGATATCAAACGAAGTTTGATGGAATTCTCACATTCATGTGCATCACAGAGGGGTGAAAACGTTTTTAATGTCTGACACTGGCAAGTTAATCCGTTGCAGGGATCTCATTGAGCAAATCTCTACCATGATGGTCGGCTGCTATGAAAACACCGTTGCCTTCAACTGTGTTCGTCATCCGATGAGCTCTAGAAACGAAAGTGACGAATAAAAAATGACCTGTCGGGCCGCTCGGCTAACGCCAGGCTTCCCTCCTTCTTATGGTGTCGCCCGGCTTCGCCGGGCGCTTTTCCTTCTTGCTATGCGTAATTAACACTTCGGATTCTACTTTTTCTTTGAAAGCTCTACACCCTCAGTATTAGCTCCGAATTGCGAGCGATTTTTTCTGTATTATAACTAATTATATATTAGTTAGAAGTCTCGATTAATTGCTTTTCATCTCGGGATTGTGTCACATTGATGGATCAACTGATTGACAACCAATGTTTTGAATGGTACCCGGAAATGGATAATAACGCCTATCACAGATGTCGTGATCAATGAAGCATTTTCTCCATTCTTTTTCATTAATTGGGGATCCCAAAATCATTAGCGGTCAGATGAGTTTAGTCACAAGTGATATGTCCCAAAACAAAAAGTAATCGTGGTACTTCATTGTGTCACAAAGCTTACTGCGTAAAGGTCGTAGTTTAATACAAAAAAAGAACAAGATTTTCATTTCGTCATGGAGAAATGTCTTTGATCGGTCGCTATTACAGCATTTACAGCATTAAAGAGTCAATACCCTACATATACTCATAGATACCCTTTTGCTCTCTAAGGCCCCTTATCAGTTCTTATCAGTTGTTATCAGTTCCTGTCACAAAGTACCTACGACAACGTCACATCCTACATTGCCGCCTCTGAAAAGTTTCCACTGTTGACACGAAGGGGATTGCAACGCTGGCTCGCTTGTTATTATCTGTCCTTATCACTAATTAACTTCGATCCCTTCACATCTTGTACTACCTACTGGAATGAAAGACGTTGTAGACTTATTGGCTCAGCCTCATATCAGTTTCTATCAGTCTCTAACAGTTTTCCGAAGTGTCAAAGCTCTGCCGTTAACAGGAAGTAAGTGACGGTTCCTGTGCCTCTCGCCTTTCAGTGCTCCTTATCAACTCGTTTGGATTGTTATCACCATCAGTGTTCCAGTCCTGCTTCCTGTACTC